ATCTCTTCGTATAATGTTGCTATGCTATTACTTAAGTTGCCAGTCAGGATACTCAAGGGAAAATTCATTGGGAAAAGGCAATTTGGCTCCTATTGGTGTGTTATGAAAAAAGCGTAGAAAACTGAGTGAGCGGATCCGATACCCTGGCGTCGATCCGGAAAATCACCTCTACCTGTTAGGTCATCATACCACTTTCTGGGAGAAGCCTTCGTAATTTTATTCACAGTATCGTTCAGCAAATGCCGAAGGCAGATTTGAAATCAGCGTCAGCTTGTATACATTTCATTTTGAACGGCTACTTTGCCCAACCATCCTTCCCTTCTTGGCTGATAGGACCATGAAGAAGAGATAGTGCGCTACAAGTTACTCTACCAGGGCACCATTTCATCCCAACTCAGCTTTTCATGGTATACTCGCCATAGCTTTTCAGCACTCACAAATATCTGCATATCATCACTTGACCGGTAAGCAAGAGGTGCGACTTCGAGTCCCGTCTGGGGCGAAAGTTGTGTTCACGACCCAGCATTCTTTTCGGTGCTCAAATTTCTTAAGGCATTGGCAGAGATTTTTTATATGCAGTCTACGCTTAAGATTCATTCTGGAGTTTTTTGGTTCTTGTTCCAATGTGCAGCATATTGTCAGGCCACGATGAATCGTCTTCACTACTTTCTTGAAAGATACTGATACTGTACTTATTTTACTAGTACTGATTTTCTTTTCTGGGTTGACCTGTGTGATAGGGAAGAGTTCCCTCATGGAGCGTTGTTTGTCTTCTCATCCCCTACCTAGTTCATTGCCTTCTCTCTGATATTCATAACAAGGCTTTAAAGTACTGGTCATCTGTTAGGCCTTTTGAAGAATTTTCTGGATTAGTGGAGACTTTGGTGCTGTCACCGTTGTCCTGCATTTCTTGACTCTCTGACCGTAGTGTTGAAGGATTATTCAGTACCATGATGTCCATTAATGTTGCAACGCATAATGCTCTCCATCTCTTTGAGAAAAGCCCATTCGATTCCGAACGTTCTCTTTTTATTCCATTTCGTCAGTCTCGTTTATATTGTGTCAGCTGCCTTTTGTAGATCTCGCCGTATTTTCAAACTCGATAGAAAATATCGGTAAGCTCAATTTGGAGTATTGTTGTGAGCTGGTTTGTTGAATCAAGGAGGTCGAATTCGGTCATCATGTGCAGAAGCGGCCGATGCACCGAAACTGTGGAAGATTAAGGATTTCCCGACAGCATTCCACTGGCCACGCCTTGTGCGTGCTGCAGAAAGGAGAATGCGATACTTCTTCCAAGAATTGATGATTGAAATAGATCATTGCCTTTTGTACACACTTTGCTGCGTTGTATGGAACTTATCAGCTATAAAGTTATTGAGCTAATGAAATGCTGGAACCAAGATGAAAGGATACTGACTGAGCTTGAACCTGAACTGACAAAATTCAGTGGATTTCTCAAGGTTGTATTGAACTACTGAGGAAGAAAATAAGTAAGGAAGAACGACATTTTGTTGGCGGACTGCGATTTTATGTCTGAATCCACAAATGCTATTCGAGATGTTTTGTGCTTGCTTCTCCATAGCTTAGTCGGTGATGATTATCGCTACAGCCAAACATCAGCAAGGTGCCGTCAAAAATTGGAATGTGACTACAGAATGACCAAAATATTTCTCGAGATAGTATCAAAGCCATCGCTTCTGCAAGAAATCTGCCGTGACTTTTGCAACGAACATCAGAGATTGTCCTTGGTAGCAGAGTTGCAAACTCCACGATATTTTGTGCCACGCTAATACTTTGCATAATGTTATATGCTATCTCACAACGTATTACACTTTTGTGCCGCTTTTCTCACATCCTTTGTACCGGTTTATGAATAGAAGCAGTTTTATTCAGGCGGCTCGGATGATTTGGTTTCGTGTGCGATCATGCTGGAGATACTTCGTCTATTATCTCGCAACCAGGACGCCCTTAAACATGATGTTATTTTTCTATTCAACGGCGCGGAGGAATCAAGCTTGCAGGTACATAGCCAAGGTTTCGATAAGAGAACGGTTAGAGACGGAAGCCGGTCGCTCATTAGATCATTCATTAGATCTTAGCAGTACTTCTTTCTCACAAGACCAAACAAAATGAAGTGCTTGTCTCGCATGTTCATTAGAGTGAACATGATGTTGTGAGCGGAGCAGAGATTCTGTAGTTCCTAGCCGGCCACGCTCACTTCTCGGATCCTCCTGCCAAAACTTTTTGACATGCGGTACTGGAAGATCCATTGAAAGAGGGTTATCTTACCTCAACATCGTTTTACGACCATAATGAGTTAATGAAGCAGAGCATTTGCGCATGAGGCTTAAAGTCACTGTACTGGTCACGGGACCCCCTTGTTTGGCCGTTACTTTTCGCTCCAGGGCAGGTAGCGGCTGAGACGGCGGACATATGGACGATTTTACCGCAACGCGTTTGGCGACACCATGCCAAACCATGCTCCAGTCGAGTTGCTCCAGCTGGTGCCGTTGCTGTAGTCCAAACTGAACGTTCTGGCCAAAACAGTTCGTCCAATCAACCAAAACTTGATGAGCCGGAGCGCCTAAAAGAGCATTGCGATTTTTGGCTACTGTTCAGCAACCACGAGTACCATATTCGCTGTAGAAGGGTCTACGACAACGGGCAGCTCACTCTGCTTGCCGTCTCGCTTAAAGAGCGGCTGTGACTACTTGTTGATCTGACAATCAGACAGTCACGAATTTGAGCACACTGAATTATGGCCTCGCCAATCCCGTAGCTTCTCTACCTTCCGAGGCTTAGCCTCAGGGGTTTTACCTCCTCTAGGATTTGGAGCCGAGCCAGGCACTGCTCTCTAATTGTCTGTGCCTAGAGCATTTCGCCGCGTATCGGAAAAGTAGGAATGTTTGAGTATACGTAGTTTGCATATTATGACGTAAGCAAACCAGCCCTTTTGGCACATCGGCTGGGACCGTATGCTGAATGTTGGGGAGGGGATGGTGTCCCCGACGGTGGACGGACAACTTCAACGCGGTCCTTAGAACCGCCACAATTTGGCGCTTACCTTAGAACTAAGCCTTAAAGAGAGGACGGGTCCGTCCCCTCTCCTAGGCTTAGTCCAAGGGTGAGCAGACCGGTCCTTCTGGCGAAGCTACTGGACCAGCTGCACCACTTGCGTCAGTACTCTCCTATCGTACCAACCGAGTTGAAGTAAACCGTCGACCGTTGGGGACCCCATCCCCTCCCCAACATTCAGCATACGGTCCCAGCCGATGTGCCAAAAGGGCTGGTTTGCTTACGTCGTACTATTACTCTCGACATTTAAATACATAACATCAAAGAACGTATGGGCGCCGCGGCGTACTGACTTAAGGTGAGTGCTGTGCTGGTTCATTGCAGGGCGCTCATGGATTCATAACACAGCACCCATGGCGTCATGTTGTACGTGCTTTCATAAATCTTGAAGCAAGTGGTAGTGGTGGTAGGGAGCTGCTGTTTCAAGCAGGTAAGTTCATCATCTATCGTGTGTTCAACACATTTCAAAGCGACAACATAGGTCCTGCAAATCAATGGCTACTGAACTCCTACCTTGAGGGTGCGGTTCACCCGCATTGCTCTATCATTGGCCAAGAGGTGTTCCAAAGCGGACTATTTCCGGGCGATACGGATTTTCGAGTGTTTCGAGACTATGGAAGAATACCTGGTGGGTTTCAATACGGATACGGTGACGGATGCTAAAATGATTCGAGAATCAGTGTTCTCATTGCTTAGGTTTGGATCTGGCGTTTGTCCAGAACGGTTATTGGTGGCACACTGAATTCGATGAGGGAAAGCGAATCGCCATCGGTTCAATGCAGCGAGCTGGTGAGTCATGCAGCAAGCTAGAGATGTGCCTTGACTGGTTCATTTAATATTATTTCATTAGCCTAAATAAGCAGTTCGCCTAGCTGTTAGGGTCGTAGGACGTCGCTGTCCCTTTTGCTACCAATCACATGTGACATATGAAGTTTGGTAGTGACCTCGAGGTTCAGCTGAATAGGTCAGGGAAGGACCTTCTCAGGGTCTTCATTCACTATATGGCGCTCTCGAAAACGAGCCCAGGTGCTTAATGTGGCACGAGAATACGTTCGGTTTTAACTAGCAAATGATAACAACTTCGTGAAAAGTTCAGGTCAGGCCCATTATCATATCGCTTACAACAACCCTTAGCTGAACAAGGCACCAACGAATAGTCTGTTGATTAGTGCTGTTGATGCATGGAGGTCGTCTGCAAGTTTGGCACAACATTTACAGCTGATAAAGGCTGATAATTAAAGGGAGTGGTCACGGAACTCCCCATGGAGACGATGAGGAAAGTGACATAGTGGATTGGGTAGGGGTCCTACCCAATGAGGACGACAGGTGACGCTTCAGGGGCAGTGGCGCCTTATCAACGGCGTGATAAGGCGCCGAAACCCACTTCCGGTTCGCCGTTGCACCTCCGTATCAGACGTGGAAGGGGATGCAGTAGCAACGTGCTGGATATGGTTATCGTTATCGTTCGATTTTCATTCTAGAGTGCGCCTCATTCCAAGCAGCCGTATGTTCTTATATTATCGCATCGTATCTTCCAAGCTTATGCTCGTCAACCACTGCCTTATCTTCACCTTATCGATTGATAACGCGCAGTTCGCTCATCCGCATAGAAGCCATCGTGATCGCTTCTTTCAAGTTGTCGTAATACGTAATAAATACATATGTCGTCCGATTCGTTATGCCGACTGAACAGCAGAGCTTCAGCACCTTTATGTCAATTCTGTAGGCTGGGACGGGATGCAGCCAGATGTTAAGAAGGTGATGAGCTTGTGGAAAAGAACGGACACTGCCTACCTCTCCTTGATCGGAGTTTGTGTGCAGAGCGGAGTTAAAGGCACATACCACTATCTAAAACGTAGTCATTGCGCTAGAAAGGGATGATTTATGATCGCTACGGGGTGAGCCATCAGTGAAGAAAAAAGGAAAGAAACCGCGAAACTTTGGAAATGAGGCTCACAAAGTAATTACTTCGAGTGGAATGCTGGCCTACGATGAAAGAAACGGAAGAAATCTTCAAAGGCGGAGTTTACCATGAAATGGCTGCTCATTACAAACCAAGGTACAGGGGTCAGTGGTGCATGGCTGAAGAAAAAACCTCGAGAAGCGGCTCAGAACTCGAAGAAATGAAATGCCCGTTGTTCGCCGTATTGATGCGGCTCTCGTCGGTGCTGCCCTCTTCAATGCTAATGCTTTCTCTGCTAAACAACAGAGTAGACGGCGAGGGGCAACCTATGGTGGATGTGTAAAAGCACGAGTGGAGAGGGTTCGACCGGGACGCATATTCTTCGCTGCAATGCGCATCGTCTCGCAACTCTACGGAAAGTGCCCGCCTCTCGAGTGGAACACTTCGCCTTGTTCCATCCCGACTTCATCGCTGAATCCCTCTTTTACTCATTCCTTCAGACGGACGTGGAACTTGCCAACATCTTCACCCACCAGGCGATGAAGTGAGAGGAAACAAGAGAGCATACCAGACCATATGTCGAAGACACTCAGCTGTTGCACGTGACGAAGAGCAACGATTATTCGCTTCCAGGAAGCACGTCACACCTTTCCATTGACCTTTTGCCACGCACCTTCGGGCCGCAAAAACGGCACATGGACCACCTACGTAAACTGCTCCATCCCACTTACCGATTGGCATGTTTTGCAATGGATGATTGCGATAAATCCAAACGGCTATATGAACACCTACTTAACACGCTCTCGGTCGTTCCCCATGGTGCTGTAGTGGGAGCTGGGGAGGAGTGGAGGGAAAAGGGGAGGATAAGGAGAGGGGTTCCGGCCGTTGCGGGGGACCAATCTGGTATAGT